CGGGCAGCTCTTGGTGTGGGTGTCCAGCGCTCTTTCTTGCAGCACGTCCTGCTGCACCCTTAGATGGGCTCTGTCATCTCCAAAACATGGGGGCAGGCACGGATCCAACTTGACCTGCAGCCCCTGGGCAGGGCAAGGCTGTTGGGCAGGTGCCCAGGAGAGGAGGGACTCGGACAGCGGGGCAGATCGTGGCCTTGATGAGGACAATGCTCGGCCACATCGAGTGGGAGCTCCAGCAGCCCCGGCCTCTTCCCTCTGCCGATGGGCACAGAGCGATGGAAGGACCCGGGGTTCATCCCCCTGTGGATGGGGCTGTCTCGCCCAAGCTCTTCCCTGCACTTAACCCCCTCAGATGGGGCTTTCACCCACTTCCCCTTAAAGCTCCTCATGCCCCAGAGATGTCCCCTAGGGTGTCTTGATGTCCTCACTTTGCCAGCCACGCTGTCCTGTGGCACAGGGAGGCTCCGGGGTGCAGCCACAAGGACCAGCCATGGCTCTCCGGAGGGGATCTTCCGTTCGGCTCTGCACCCCGCTGCTCTGCAGACATGGATCAGACCTGTCCAAGCTGCTGCTTGGGGGAAACCAAGCTACCAACCGTGGCTTTTCTTGGCGTTATTCTTCTTCCTGGCTAAAAACTCTTGCTGATTTTTTTTTCCAACTGAATTCAAAGGAGCTTGGGGCTCTCCCTCACTTGCAAAAGTGAAACCCCTGGGAAGGGCAGTTGAAAGCCAAGCCCCCCAGTAGCTCACACCAGCACTTCGACATCGCCCAAGCCCCTCATCCCCTCCTGGAAGGAATGCTGCCAACAGAGAGGAAGGTGCCCTGGGACTTCCCCGGGCACTCCCAGCCGGGATGTGGATGGGTTATTCCCAGCCGCTGTGGTGCAGCGGGGAGAAGATGCTGCCCAGGAACCCACGGGTGGTGATGCTGAAGGCGGTGCAGAGCAGGGCACTGTGGGTGAAGCCTCTGGAGGCTGAAATGGGGAGGGGTTTGGGGGGGGCTGGATACCCACAGGGAAGAGCCCTGGCTACCTCTCGGTCAGGCACTTCGGAGGAAAGGGCAGCATCCGCCAGCTGTGCCCAGATGTTGGTGGGAGAAAAGATTTCTGGCAGGAAGGTGACACCTTGCCTGGCAGCACTGCGAAGCTGGTATCCTTGCTGCGGTCCCCCAGCCATGGCACGACCCTGCTGCTTTGGGGCACGTCGGTCACCCCCTCAAAGCCACCGAGCACCAGTGCTGTAGGAGCGATGCATGGTTGGGTCCTGGCTGAGCCCTCCTGCCACCAAGCATCCTGTGGGCAGAAAAGGGCTGTGGATACCCCAGGTTCTGTAGAAACCCCATCTCAGCACAGATATCGGCAGCAAGGGGTGGGGGGTACATGGGACAGGGAGCTTTCTGAGCCCCTCCAGCCACTTCAGAGACTGTCACTGGGCTGACCCCATCCTGGAGCTGATCCTGTGCTCGGGGGGGTGATGCTGTGCCTTGTCTCTGCTCTCCGTTTGCCCTTGCTGGCCCTCACAGTGGGTCGAGAGGAGATGGTCCTGGTTGGGAAAGGAGGGGAAAGAAGTATTTAATTAAACCACCCAGTTAAAGCATCAAGGTGCAGAAAATGCAGCAAACACTGCAATGGGGACAAAGTACCCTGCGATGGGGATGGGCACAGAGTCCCCTGCACCCTACAAGCGGGTACAGGGGTCAAGTCTTGGATATTCCCACCCCTCCTGGCTCCAACACAGGGCGCTCTAGCTCTCTGCAAATTCAGGCATCACTGGGTGTGTATAACACTCGGTATCGGCTGGTGTTTCTTTGCTGCCGCAGTTGCCTCGGAGCCATGTCCCAGTGCAGAGGGGTACAAGCGCTGCGTCCCCCGGGAGCATCACTCTGTCACCTCCCACCCTCTGACACTGCATTTTTTTTTTCCTTCTGTAGGAAATGGCTACATTGAAGGCAAAGAGCTGGAAAACTTCTTCCAGGAGCTGGAAAGTGCGAGGAAGGGGGCGGGGGTGGTAAGGTCCTCTCCTGGTTTTGCTCTCCCTTTCCCTGCTGCCCGAGGGTTCAGGCTCACATCAGCCCCATCTCCTTTGGGAATGGCACCAATGAGCGGGACCAGGACACCTCCGGGAGGGAAAGGGGGAACAATTGGCACAGGGTGGGTGGTTAAATACTCCCATCCCCTCTCCTTGCCAGCAGGATTCCAAGAACGACAACTTAGGTGACAAGATGAAGGAGTTCATGCACAAGTATGACAAAAACGCAGATGGCAAAATCGAGATGGCGGAGGTGAGCAGTGCTGGCCCTGCGGATCCTCGGGATGTTTGTGTTCCCCCCCCGATGCTCGTGTTCTCCCCTCACGCTCATGTCCCCCGCAGCTGGCCCAGATCCTGCCCACGGAGGAGAATTTCCTGCTCTGTTTCCGCCAGCACGTGGGCTCCAGCTCAGAGTTCATGGAGGTGAGCAGGGCAAGTTGTGCCGGGGCTCCCTGCGGGATTCGGTCCCCGATGCCCAGCTCCACTGCAGAGAAACTGGGAGCTGGCGTTGCCCAAACCTCTGCCCTAGTCTCCCTCGAACTCTTGGCTTAAACTCAGCATTGGGAGGTGAGGTGTGGCGTCCTGGTGTGGATGGTGCTGGTTTTGGGGGGCAGAGCAGGAGCATGATGAGTTTTCCTAGTCCTCGGCACCCCTTGGGCACCTCTCAGGGCAGCCGGGCACCTTGTCCCAGTCTCCAGGTGAGGTGAGCTGCCGGGATTTGGAGCTGTTTCTGTAAATTCCCCCTCCAGTCAGTCCTTAGTGCCCAAGGGATGTGCTGAAGCAGACAATGCTTCTCTGGGCCACCCCAAAACCTCACTGTGTCCTTGCATGTGGTGAACCCATCTGCAGAGCGGGAGAGAAATTGCCAATGGGGATCGAAACATGGCTGAGGGTGGAGAGGGACGTGCAGCATCCCAGGGCGGGAAGAGCTTGTGCTTGCAAAATAAACCCAGAGTGGACACGAGTGCCCTGTGGCATGGGGGGCAGAGTGCGTGTTAAGTGGGTGCTATTATTTAATTGGGGAATGCAATCAGATATTAAAGCCCAGCCTCACACGCTGAGTGAGAGTAATATTGCTGAAACTCTTGGCATGTGGCTGAACAAAAGCATCCAGCCCCAAGGGAGAGCATGTGGCACCAGTGAGGCCACCATGAGCCGAGACCAGAGCCGTGAGATGACCCCATCTCTGCTAGGGTGGTGGGGGATGCTGCGGGCAGGGGGTTATGGGGGTGCAGTGGTAGTGGGGGGGAATGTGGGCCACAAGCTCATGTTCATAGCGGCTGTTTCACAGGCTTGGCGCAGGTATGACACGGACCGCAGCGGCTACATCGAAGCCAACGAGCTCAAGGTGGGCTGCGGGCACGGGGTGAGCTGAGCCGGGTCCCTGCTGGTGGGACATCCCCACTGGGACAGCTGGGGACGGGGACAGCCAGCAAAGCCTTCTCCTTCCAGGGCTTCTTGTCAGACCTGCTGAAGAAGGCGAACCGTCCCTATGATGAGCCCAAGCTGCAGGAGTACACACAGACCATTGTAAGTGGGACCTCCGGGCTGGTTCTGGGTGACCACAGCTCACCTGGGGCAGGGCTGGTCCCCTCCGGTCCCAGGGGTCTCACCACCCCACGGTGGGTGGGAGGGAGGGGAGGAGGAAGCAATGGGTGATGGGGTGCTGCTTGTGTCTCGGCAGCTGCGGATGTTCGACATGAACGGCGACGGGAAGCTGGGCCTCTCGGAGATGTCCCGGTAAGGGCATGCGTGGCAAGAACGACGTGATGGGGAGGGAGAGACAGCCTGAAAGACCTGTGTCTAGAAAAAGTCTGCTCTAGCTTCTGAGGAAAATAGTTTTCCTCTTTAATTTGCTCATGTTTCTGAGCAAAAAGTCATTTTGGATTAAAAAAGTGTCCTCTCCTGGCTGCGTCTTGCTCATCCTCACCCTTCTTTTTTTTTCAGACTTTTGCCTGTGCAAGAAAACTTCCTTCTGAAGTTTCAGGTAAAATAACAATAATAAATAAATAAAAAACCATTCCTGTTCCCTCCTTGCGCCTCCATCCCCTCCCTCACACCCCGGTGTCCCTTGCCGCTGCCCAGGGGATGAAGCTGTCCTCAGAGGAGTTCAACGCCATCTTCGCCTTCTACGACAAGGTACGGAGCCGGGAAACTGCCCCAAAGAAATATAACTCAGCAAAAAATCACAACCCCAAACCCACGTGTTTTCAGCTGGGTCAGTTCCTCACTCTGATTTGGGGTGTGAGCACTGGGTTTAGCCCTGGCTGTGCTGGATAAGGGTCTGGGGGCACCCCTGGGGTGGGGGTTTTGTGGGGCTCTTGTTCTTCTCCCTGCTGATGTCCCTCCCTCGTTATCCAGGATGGAAGTGGCTTCATTGATGAGAATGAGCTGGATGCGCTTTTGAAAGACCTGTATGAGAAGAATAAGAAAGTAAGTTGGGAAGAGAAGGGTGAGATGGTACCCTAGGGAGAAATGGGGTTTTTTTTCCCCCCCTGTTCTTTGCAGGAGATGAACATCCAGCAGCTCACCAACTACAGGAAGAGCATCATGAACCTCTCCGACGGGGGCAAACTCTACCGCAAGGAACTGGAGATCGTGCTCTGCAACGAGCCCCCCATGTAGGAAAGCCCTGCCCATGCCACCCTGTGCTCCTCTTCCTCCCTGAAAACAAGCACAACGGGGGAGTACCCACTGGTGGGGGGGGCATGGAGGGGACGGTGTGCCCACCGTCCCCTCCGTGCCCCGCTCAGCTGGTGCTCCTCCAGTAGCTCTTGGTCGTTAAAATCCCACCTGGGGAAAAAAAAAATCTAATTTTATTTTTTTTTACCCCATCCGCCTCGTTGGTTTAATTAT